CATTACCAGCAGCAGACATTCAAAGGACATTAGGACATTACTTTCTTTAAAGAAGAAATAGGCTGAGACTCGACGGGAATATGCTCATCGTTACAGGAAAATGATAAATGAGATATAGGATTGTAATTGCATCATTCAAGATTGGGTTACCAAAAGATAACCTACTGTAATCCTTAACCAGAGAACCAGCCATCAATATGGAGAAATTAATGGCTAGGGTAGAGAGGTATGTCAGGGTAGATAATGAACTCAACTGGAAGGTTCATTGGGATCAACCAAGCACAAAGTAGAAGGCCAAAGACAGGTAGGATCAATCNAACTGGAAGGTTCATTGGGATCAACCAAGCACAAAGTAGAAGGCCAAAGACAGGTAGAGGATCAATANTGGCTAGGGTAGAGAGGTATGTCAGGGTAGATAATGAACTCAACTGGAAGGTTCATTGGGATCAACCAAGCACAAAGTAGAAGGCCAAAGACAGGTAGGATCAATCGTGCCAGATGAACAAGAAAAAGGAGGATATCTCATCCCGTTCATAATTCTCAAGACTGAACATGATTTTCAAAGAACCAATTTACAAGATTCTGCCCTAGATCAAAGGGGAAATCCTACTTCCAATGGCCTAACAAATTAGCCTCAGATCCAGAAAAGAGGAATCCAAATCATAGGTGTTCTTATCACTGGGACATTGGACATATGACACAGAATTATCGTTCTCTGAAGCAGCACCTTGAAGAGTTGGTGCGAGCCGGCAATTTTTCTCAGTTCATTAATGAAGAGCCAAAGCCGAGGCGACCGGCAAGAAGGAGGAGACTCAGGGTCAAACACGAGACCCCACAGGCGTGATAGATGTGATTCATGCCACTACAAACCCAAACATGACAACTAATAAGGCCGCCCAAGACTACATTTAGAAGGCAGCACAGACCAAAGAAACCTACCAAGTCGACCATGCAGGTTCACAAGAAACCACTCACTAATCGATTAGATGGACTGATTAGTTTTTCAGATGATGACCTAACTGGGGATTCGCCACCCTCGCAATGATACTCTGATCTTAACCCTGAACTAAAAATTTCAAATTTTGATGTGACGAGGGTCTTGATTGACTAGGGGAGTTCCTTAGAGATTATGTGCGTCAACTTGTTCAAAAGGCTCGGCTTAAAGGAGGAAGACCCTTCTTTGTTAGTAAGACCCTTCTTGATGCATAAACTACGTACCTGCCATTAGATAAGTTAGCCCTAGCCTTAGTTTGCTCGGCTAGGAGCCTAAGGCACTACGTTCAAGCACACCCAGTAAAAGTCTTGATCGACCAACCCCTAAAGGCCCTATTTAGAATGGTTAACCTATTTGGAAGGATATCAAAGTGCGCAGTGGAGCTCGGTGAATATGACATCACTTATGAACCGAGAACTACAATTAAGGGACAATTATTTGTAGATTTCCTATCCGAGCTCACTCTTGGAGCACAAGAAAACCCCGACAAACTTCAAAATGTCTCCAATGCCTTGAAACCGGAAGTTAAGGGGAATTTAGCTAGACTGAAGGTGGTCCCAAGTGCTTGGAACTTGAATTCGGGAGAAAACTCCAAAACTACAAAACGCTTGAAACCTATTTGTAGATAGTTCCTCAAAATAGAAAAGAGTAGGACTCAAGATAATACTAGAATCCTCAGAAGGCGACATGCTCGAAAAAGAAGTTGGACTAGAGTTTGGANCTCCAAAACTACAAAACGCTTGAAACCTATTTGTAGATAGTTCCTCAAAATAGAAAATAGTAGGACTCAAGATAATACTAGAATCCTCAGAAGGCGACATGCTCGAAAAAGAAGTTGGACTAGAGTTTGGAACGTCAAATAATGAAACTGAATATGAGTAGTTGCTCGCGGGGTTATGACTCACACAATATGTAGGAGCCGAGCAACTGAGTATCTACTATGACTCGCAACTTCTTGTGAACCAGCGCTTTGGTGAAAAATGAAAGTATGGTACCATACTTTCAAGACAAAAAGCACCCAAAGAAAGAGTGGGTGAAGAGAAAACCTAATATCAGCCTCGGTAATGGCCATTTGCCTTAGCAACCCTAATATTAACATCATCAAAGATACCACAGGAATTTGAAATTAGGTATGTCAACTTCGTAGGAGGGCTATGTCAAGAAAGCGTAGAGATGAAAACGACAGAAAGGGAGGTAAATAGGAGATTTGCAAATGCTTGAAAAGCTTGAAAATAGACAACAATGATGGAAAAAGAGAGGAAATAGACTCTCCTATATATAGATGAACAAAGGTGCCAAAAACGACGATAGAAGATGAAAAGACGCAACTTTCAAAATTTAAGTGACCATTTCGACGATGAAGGACTCAAGTAACGACTCCACGACAATTGATGCATAGCATTAAATGAAGGCCATAATTGTTGCAGAGAATGCTAGACAACTTGTGCCACGTGACAGTCATGTTGTAGGGGCAAGTGAAGGGGCTCCGAGCATGACTATGCATGATTAGACCATTAAATGAGGGCACATGACAAAGTGCACGTAACCAAAGTACACAAAGAATATGACAAAGGCAAAATGCTTCTGACCGAGTCATATTAAGGTAAATTTAACAGATTTTGGCCGCAGTCGACCAAAATTAGACACGTCACTCGATGGCTCAGTTTATATAGTGGTTGAGCAATCACCAAGTATACGAGTTGAAAACCAATGGAACTCTTGATTTCAACAAATTGATAAGGACTAAGATCAAATGAAAAAATAGTTAGGCTATCCGAACAATAAGAGGCGGTGTCACGCACCCAATAAGGAAGTTGCCAAAAATATAGGTGCACGTTATAAACATGTGGCTTGAATAATCAAGTAATAAGAAGAAAAAAAATCTAGAAAGATTAAAAAATAGGTGTACCACCTTAGGGCATCTTCAACTCTGACTCAAATTTAAATTCAAATTTAAATTTGAGTAAAAAAATCTAAAAAACTTGCTCTAACCCTTACTCAAACTTATACCAAATTAAGGGGGACTTTTTTTTTTACTCAAATTAAGGGAAACTCAAATCCTTACCCAAATTTTTAATTGTGAGATTGCACCTTCTTTTAAAAATTTAATGATCATCTTTTCTCTCATTTAATTTTGGGTTTACCCTCATTTAAATTTAAGTTTCTCCTTCTTTAAATTTGAATTTGTCCATTGGAGTCTTTTGTATCAAATCAAACTTTTTACTCAAATACTAACTTAAATTTAAGTAAAAATTTGAGTCATGGTTAGAGATACTCTTTTACAACCATTAATCTAAACCCTAAAAGAAAGGGACGGATCTCTATAAATACTGGATGAGCTTAAGGTTAATACCCCATATCGTTCTCTTCAATCAATTTGCTTGATCTCAGAATCTTTACTGGCTTAAGCATTGGAGTGCCCCGCACAATCAACCCCGATTTCTAAGAGTTTATTCATTTTATAGAAAATGCACACTTTGTTCGTTTCTCCGAAAAATCATACTTTTCACGTTATTGAACATTAGGTACGACATTTTTCCATGCACATACTATTACTTTGATCCCAATAAACAATAGGAGTGTTTTGCTATTANTTATAGAAAATGCACACTTTGTTCGTTTCTCCGAAAAATCATACTTTTCACGTTATTTAACATTAGGTACGACATTTTTCCGTGCACATACCATTACTTTGATCCCGATAAACAATAGGAGTGTTTTGCTATTNGGACTAAGATCAAATGAAAAAATAGTTAGGCTATCCGAACAATAAGAGGCGGTGTCAGGCACCCAATAAGGAAGTTGCCAAAAATATAGGTGCACGTTATAAACATGTGGCTTGAATAATCAAGTAATAAGAAGAAAAAAAATCTAGAAAGATTAAAAAATAGGTGTACCACCTTAGGGCATCTTCAACTCTGACTCAAATTTAAATTCAAATTTAAATTTGAGTAAAAAAATCTAAAAAACTTGCTCTAACCCTTACTCAAACTTATACCAAATTAAGGGGGACTTTTTTTTTTACTCAAATTAAGGGAAACTCAAATCCTTACCCAAATTTTTAATTGTGAGATTGCACCTTCTTTTAAAAATTTAATGATCATCTTTTCTCTCATTTAATTTTGGGTTTACCCTCATTTAAATTTAAGTTTCTCCTTCTTTAAATTTGAATTTGTCCATTGGAGTCTTTTGTATCAAATCAAACTTTTTACTCAAATACTAACTTAAATTTAAGTAAAAATTTGAGTCATGGTTAGAGATACTCTTTTACAACCATTAATCTAAACCCTAAAAGAAAGGGACGGATCTCTATAAATACTGGATGAGCTTAAGGTTAATACCCCATATCGTTCTCTTCAATCAATTTGCTTGATCTCAGAATCTTTACTGGCTTAAGCATTGGAGTGCCCCGCACAATCAACCCCGATTTCTAAGAGTTTATTCATTTTATAGAAAATGCACACTTTGTTCGTTTCTCCGAAAAATCATACTTTTCACGTTATTGAACATTAGGTACGACATTTTTCCATGCACATACTATTACTTTGATCCCAATAAACAATAGGAGTGTTTTGCTATTAAAAAAAAGACTAAAAGCGTGTTCTGAAAACATGCTTTTGACAGCGCTGATTTTTTTTAGGAAAACATATTTTAAACTCATGCTTTTTATTCAAAATCGTGAGTTTAAACCAAACTTTAAAAAAATAATAATAATAAAAAAGTTTAAAATTACGATAAAATTTATAGAAGATCAAAACAATACGGTAATTGGATAAATAATTCCTTGCATGTGTACCCAGACCCTCCTTCCGGACGCAAACGGAGCAATTATCTTACTACTAAGCAATTCCACATTCTCAAAGAAATGCACTTTTCCATCTAAATTGAAAGGCGCTTAGAAGAATGTCGATAAATTTAATTAAATTTTTTTTCCGAAAGTTGAATTTAATTCAAAACTGGGGCTTCAAAATTACCATTAAAAAAGGGGCTCATTAATTGTTATTAATTACCTGACCCTGAGTAGATTTGATAATTCTTCAGTCGTTGCCTTCATTCTGACCCTCTCATCCATCACCCGGCTCTCTATCTCCCGAAGCTTTCTCGAATGCTCGCCAATTTGACTCTCAACTCTGAGAACCGCCCTTCTGTGCCCCAAAAGCCTACGCTCTCTCTCCCTCTCAAACCTACTCTCATTATAGTTTAGCAAAAAATTAACTAGCAAATAAAATTAAAAGAAACTGAAATCAGTGATATTTCCGTACCTGATTTTGAATATGGTTTTGGAGGAAGGAGATGGATATGTACTTCTACGATTAAAATTGATATTATTAGGGTTTTCGTAATTGGGAAACTGGGAAGAAAGTAAGGAGGACCAAAGAGAGTCTTCGTAGGAGAGGCGATTGAGGCGTCTACATGTGATGGCAACACAGCAGATGTCTTTGTAGTTTAAAGGATTTTTACTTGAGCTTGAGATTCCGAACTCTAATATTCGCCTCCACAGCTCGTCTGGCAGAACTGACATCTTCTCTTCTTTAGACAAACCAATCGCCTTGCTTACAGTGTCTCACCGAAATAGCACCACTGCCGCCCCCTTCATTGACCAATGCTTCGGAGAATTACACCAATCCCAGGGTCGGTAATGGAGCTGTTATACGAGATGCCTCACCAAAAAGCCGAAGTCTAAGGGGCCGCCCTCGGCCCGGAAGCCCAACAGGCTAACAAGCAGCCCACATGGCAGGGTTTGGGTAGCCCACTAGCCCGGCAGGTAGGGCTTGGGCCCTTTTTTAGGACGGGGGGTTTGGCGGGCTGGCCCATTAGCCCAATAGATAATTAGATTATAGGGTTTTTTTGGAAGTCGGTACACCTAATTAGACTTATTTGGTAAAAAATACATAAAATAAAATATTTTGGAAAAAAATACGCAGCTGAGATACAAAAACGTAAATGTTCATTTAAGGGTCATTTAATTCAAAATCTCTTACCTTTAATGCACCTTGATTTATATGTGTTGTTANAGTCTAATGGGCCGCCCTCGGCCCGGAAGCCCAACAGGCTAACAAGCAGCCCACATGGCAGGGTTTGGGTAGCCCACTAGCCCGGCAGGTAGGGCTTGGGCCCTTTTTTAGGACGGGGGGTTTGGCGGGCTGGCCCATTAGCCCAATAGATAATTAGATTATAGGGTTTTTTTGGAAGTCGGTACACCTAATTAGACTTATTTGGTAAAAAATACATAAAATAAAATATTTTGGAAAAAAGTACGCAGCTGAGATACAAAAACGTAAATGTTCATTTAAGGGTCATTTAATTCAAAATCTCTTACTTTTAATGCACCTTGATTTATATGTGTTGTTAATATATATATATATATATATATATATATACTTGTTGTTAAATCTCTTATCTAATTTTGAATTATTTTTAATGCACCTTGATTCATGCGTTTTTTTTTTTTGCAAAGTGATTTTTTTTTCAAATTAATTTAATATCNGTTTTTTTTTTTTGCAAGGTGATTTTTTTTTCAAATTAATTTAATATCCAAATATTGTAATAGTGTAACAATAACAGTGTAACAATAACAATGAAACATAGACAGTGTAATAATAACAGTGTAACAAAAATAGTGTTCAGTAGTTTTGTGTATGTGGTAACAAATTCAAAACAGAGATGGATTATTTTGAATGAAATTATATGTTTGACAAAATATAATAGTACAATATTTTGTGTAAAGTAGTTTGTTACACTGTTATTGTTACATTATTACTCTATTTGGATATTAAATTAATTTAAAAATAAAATCACTTTCCAAAAAAAAACGCATGAATCAAGGTGCATCAAATATAATTTGAAAACAAAATCACTTTCCAAAAAAAAATACGTATGAATCAAAGGTGCATTAAAGATAATTCAAAATATAGATAAGAGATTTAACAACAAGTATATATATATATATATATATATATATATATACAAATTTATATATATATTTATATTTATATTTATATATATATATATAAATACATATATTTGTATATATACGAATTTATATATATATTAAAGTCCTCTCATAAAATTAGGAGATATTTAATGCACCACTTTTCAAAAAAAAAACACATGGATTAATGGAGGGCAAAAATGTCACAAAAAAATCAACAAAATTCAAATAATGTGCTTATATACAAATAAGTATCAAAATTAAGGACTTAATTATCTAACATTTTTTTTGTGTACCTTTTTACAATTAAGTCTAATTTGGTGTACCTCCTTCTAATTTTTTCTAGATTATATTTCTAAATTATATTATTTATTTAATACTAGCAATGTACCACGTGCGTTGCACATGAATTTTGTTGTTGAAATATTTGATAAAATACATAAAAAAATCTAACTATGTAACTAAATTAGATATTATCTCAAATTTATTATACTTAAACTATTTGTATTCTCTTCATAACTATAAATATCAAATATACTCATTTTTTGTGATTCTTTCATTCAAGCAACCAAATAGTAAGGATTATAAATTTTTATTTTCTTGATTTTTTTTGTCTTTCTTGTTTTTTATTTGTGCCTTAATAATTTTTTACCAAATTATTTTGATTGTGAATGAAGAGAAAAACTATATATATCCATTTTTTGGTGTTGGAGATTATATTGTATCAATAGAGTTGTTGATGTGTATTAATATTGAGATTTTTTTAAAAAAATAATATTTTTTTATATAAGCATAACATGACCGNTTGGAGATTATATTGTATCAATAGAGTTGTTGATGTGTATTAATATTGAGATTTTTTAAAAAAAAATAATATTTTTTTATATAAGCATAACATGACCATTCAAAAGTTTTGTAAAGATAGAGAGAATTATATGATTTTTTAGAAATTAGTTTGTTATTTAAAAATATAGGGATATAATATTAATTTATATATTTATATATTTGTTACAACTAAAAATGTATGATATGCCAACACATTAAAGAGATTCTAAATTATATATCTTTTAAAAATAAAGTCTTGTGACATGTTATATTTTTCAAGTTTATTTAATAGTTAGCATTATACTTCTATAAAACAATGTTATCAGAACCGGACCGGTCATCGAACCAGCTCGGGGACTGAGTTAACGGTTTAGTGGGTCAATTGGTCGAACCGGTCATATAATAAAAAAATAAAAAATATATATAATAATTATAAAACATAATAATTTAGCTAAAAAAATATAAAATATGTTTAAAATGCAATACTAGCAAAGTAACATCAATAATAGAGCATTTCAATTGCCCAATAAAACTAAGAAAGTCTTAAAAAATTACATTCATTTCATTCCTATATATAGTCCAGTGGTGGATGTACTTGGCCACTTTGCCATAGAAGACGAAACTACAAGTTGTAAGATCTGAAAGCACAAATACTGCTCTGCCCTTCAACTGGAATGGACGTCAGAACATGGTGCCAAGTAGCCAGTGGAAACATCAGTTGGATCCAAAACCACTCGATGAGAGGCTACTATCAATTTTCGACGTTCAACTAATCACCGAGAATTATGTCCAAAGCCCCCATTTGGAGATTATTGTGCGCCTGAGCTCTCGCCTGAGTTTCTCGCCGGTCGCCTAAGCTGATCGCAGTTGCTGGTCGCTTGAGTTGGTCTTGGACGCAGGTGTCTTATGCGATTTAGGGCAAAAAATTGGCCCAAATAAAAAAAATATTCTAATATAAGTAATTTTGCATAAGTCTTCAAACTGGTCGATTTTTTAAAAATTGCCGGTTCACGGTTTTTTACAAAAAAATAGGCTAATTTTTAACCGGTTCTATTCCTTATGCGGTCCAATTAGGGAACTGGACTGGTTAAGGTCCCGGGTCACGGTTGAACTGGTCCAACCGACCGGTTTGATCCGATTCTGATAACACTACTATAAAAACCTCTACATTAGAAGTGTTAATGTAATTGTATCTTTCTCAGTTTTATATTCCTTTAGTTTATTCTTGTTTGATAGTTCTAGCAAATTAGTCATTTATATCCTTGACACTTTTTGTCTGAAACTATGAGCAGATGGGGTCATCCTATAAACACAATTTTTTTCCATCAAAGCATCTTTACATTTTCAGCAAAGCTATTAAGGATTGTCCCTGTGTAGAACAAGGAAAGGAAGAAAGAAAGAAAAATAAGGACTCCAAAAGAAGCATAGATAGTTTCCTTTCAAGCTTTTTGACATTTGAAGCTATCAAGGATGCTAAAAGAGCAGCTACACAAAATATAGCAACAATGTAAGCTTTGNGAAAGAAAAATAAGGACTCCAAAAGAAGCATAGATAGTTTCCTTTCAAGCTTTTTGATATTTGAAGCTATCAAGGATGCTAAAAGAGCAGCTACACAAAATATAGCAACAATGTAAGCTTTGTTTATGTTGGACTATTGAACTTATAGCATAGATTGTTTTGTCAATGATAACTAATTGCTCGTTTTTCCTTTTTTCTTTTCCACGGATTGTTATCTTATGAAGCAAAATATTGACTTTGCGACCTCAAAAAACCATTTCATAGAAGGGTCCTAATGAAGTTATCAAGACTCAGAAATCAAAAAATTGTAACCTATACTTCACATGATCAACAATAGTTCAACCGAAAGACTTCAATTTTTGGTGTAATAATTTATAGTTTTAAGGCGAGCTCTCTTATGGAGGAAACCATACAATAAAAGGCTAACATTATTGAACAACAAAATTTGTTAAAGAACTTTTATGTGAGAAGCATTCAGCTACATCAAGTACTTACTACAACATAACCTTGCACACAAAAATTTGATCTGTACATATTATAACAACACATTAGGCCTCAAATACATCCAAATGATGACATTGTTAAGTTCCCTTCAAAACCTTGACATATAAAATTTAAATATCAGGGCCATATTATCACTTTGTTTAGATCAATTCAGTTGGCTCTCATTCCATAATTAAATCATTATACCCTCAGGTTTCTCATATTAAGAATGCTCATGAAAGAAGGGTTGAGCCAAAAGGGTCTCCTAACACCTTCTTTTTTGNACATTGTTAAGTTCCCTTCAAAACCTTGACATATAAAATTTAAATATCAGGGCCATATTATCACTTTGTTTAGATCAATTCAGTTGGCTCTCATTCCATAATTAAATCATTATACCCTCAGGTTTCTCATATTAAGAATGCTCACGAAAGAAGGGTTGAGCCAAAAGGGTCTCCTAACGCCTTCTTTTTTCTTATCATCGAAGTTATTTAACAAAGACTTTCCATGATAAAGAAGAAAGGGGGAACAAGCACATTTGGAGAGTGCACAATTTTAAAATTTTCACTGTCACTATGCACCAGATTGCAGAACTGATCAACAATAGATGTTTTCCAAACACAAACCAAAATAACAAATCAACAGAAGGCCTCAAANACTTTCCATGATAAAGAAGAAAGGGGGAACAAGCACATTTGGAGAGTGCACAATTTTAAAATTTTCACTATCACTATGCACCAGATTGCAGAACTGATCAACAATAGATGTTTTCCAAACACAAACCAAAATAACAAATTAACAAAAGGCCTCAATGTTACACATAAGGACAATCATGAAGTTTGATACAACAACATATTTTGATCAAAAACTTCATCGATGATGAGTTCTGGGGAAAAAATTTACATCATGAGAAATAAATTTTGGATGCAAATACACCAAGTGCTTTCTCAAATTAATGAAACAAAAATTCTCGACAAATTCAAATCTTATGTGTAACAATTGAATGTTCCCAAATTTAGCTTTTGCAATTCAACTAACTTGTTCATAAACTTTGGTCAAATTCACTAACCAGTACAATTCCAAATCACCTCTCTTGTGAATTCTTTGTTCTCTTTGCTATTAGCATTAGATGTCAACATGACTAAATCTATATGAATAACATATGATGAATGCATTTTCTAAAAGAACTGGCATGTACCTTTGTTTGAACAAATAAACTAAAGTGCAATAAAAAAAATCTTTATGGCTTTTACAAAATGATGGATCAAGTGCCAATTAGACTTGAATGGAAGAAATTAATTTAATTTTATTCTAATTACTTGATAAATTGCACCTAATGGAGGTAAGCTAGCTAATGGGACAACTAAATCAGGTGCCATCCACAGTTATTTCTTTGAGATTTTCCCATTGCGATCTTTAGTGCATCTTTAAAGTAGCATCCAATATGTATAAGAAGGTATAGGGTAATAACAGTTCCAATAAGTAACTAAGAATCAAGCTGAACAAACTTACTTAAAATATGAGTTTTTATTAGACCAATTTTAGCAAAAACTAAGAAATAGACCAAAAGAATAAGAAACTACAACCAAAACTCATAACAAGCAAGTCATTACCTGACAGTGATAGCCTCAAGGTAACTATCAACAGAAGAAACATAAGCCACATTAGTTACCTTGTCTAATTCGAACTTATTAGACAATGGTCTCTCAATGGCACTTCCAATTCGAAGGTATTCTCCCCATGGGCAACAATCACAGGCTGCTCTTTGAGATGTTGAGCACCATTCTTTGCTTCTGAGTAATGGGTTGTTTATGCACACCACCAGATGATTGTAGAATGGTTCCAACAATGTTGCTCATAACCTACACAAGGGAAGTCCCGTAAAGTAGAGAANGGTATTCTCCCCATGGGCAACAATCACAGGCTGCTCTTTGAGATGTTGAGCACCATTATTTGCTTCTGAGTAATGGGTTGTTTATGCACACCACCAGATGATTGTAGAATGGTTCCAACAATGTTGTTCATAACCTACACAAGGGAAGTCCCGTAAAGTAGAGAGATGTGAAATTAATTTAGATGATCTGTGCTAACCCCAAGTATGGCAGAGCCATAAATTCTCGCAAAACAAAAGTCGTTTCTCTCGTTTGATCAACAGATCATTAGTGTATAATAAATGTCCCATGAATCACCTTTCCCTATTCACGTGCCAAAAATTTAATACATTCATCATATATTTACTATTTAACCAAATTTTATGATTCTTTCTTTCCCGACTCCATTTTCACTTAAACCAAACTCAAAGAAGTTTTTAGTCGATTAAGCATACATAGGTTCGCAAAGACATTAACCTCACTGTGAACCACTATTATTTTCAATCAACCATACTAAAAGAGCTCAGAATATACATCAAGTACATAAGAATTGTCAAACCTACAATAGAATCAAGAGCTTCAGCTACTTCATGTCTGACCATTGAATGCTCATTCACATCCCTGAGTATCCCAGAAAGTCCATTTGAAGCAATTTTGTTTTGCAATTGGCCCAAGACACAAACAACCTGCAAAGTCAGTCCAACAAAATCATATTTAGAAGTGGTTAGAAAAAACAAAGCCATCAAAGCATATCAGATTAGGAATTGATAGCCCTTGAAGAAACACATTACCAATAACCAAAGCATTAAAATGTCATATAGGCAACAATCGTGACCCTGATTTTACAAACACCATAAATATGGATGGGTAGAGAAGTAATTGTAACACCCCAAAACCCACCTTGGACGACATTACAATCTATAAACCATTCACAACATGAGAGCAACTAAATAAATCCATCATTTAAGAACATTTCATTTATCAAATATATCATTTACAATATCATCCCAAAAGAATAGGTCAATCTATGGCAATTACACTTCAAAAGAATTACATTTAAACTTAGCAGCTGAATAACAAAATACTAGACTAGACATGATCATCAATAAATTCCCTAGCCTAGCACAAAAAGAAACTATAGCTCTAGATGTCCACCTCGGGATCCACGAGCCCGTCTAGTGAAGCTTCCCAATGTGTCGGCTCTTCCACCCCGAGCTCTTCCTCTAGACCACAATCTGAAAAATATAGTTTGTAGGGGGTGAGCACTAAGCTCTGTAGCAACCTTCCTCCCAAACTCGAACAAGGTTTTAGAAAAACATATAAAAACGGTCGGTCACCTTTCACAAATAGCATATATGAATTTTGAAAGAAAACGTGATATTTTCAAAAGATCTCAAGTTTATATATTAACAATAATTAAGTACAAGAGTAAAGTCAACCCCACCAAAAATAATCATTCCAAAGAGTAAACATACCCATAACGATTTCCACGATAATCATATCCAAAAGATAACACTATAGACAATAACCGNAGAGTAAAGTCAACCCCACCAAAAATAATCATTCCAAAGAGTAAACATACCCATAACAATTTCCACGATAATCATATCCAAAAGATAACACTATAGACAATAACCTTCATGTATCTTAAGTCTGATGTAAGATAATCTCATGAATAACACATTGAGGATATCTTGGCCCACACACATATAAATCCTTGCAAGGATATCAAACTTTAGGAAGGGCGCTTATCGATGCATTGTCCCATAGCAATGCATCGGCAATAACGAATTCGACCCAGACATAGTATACTAATCCTCTGACATGGCACCCGTGAGCTAATAGTGGTTTGGTCCTCGCAAGGCACCAACCTTACCATGAGTGGTAGGAAAAGTTTAAACCTGTCCGGAGTAAGAACCACCACATCTACCCACTCTATAATACCCGGTAAACGACCACCCATGGTCATCCAAATACCTCCATGAGATACAATCACCAACAATTTCCTCAAATAATAACAATTCCATAAATCTCCAATTTCACATGTAGAATTTCAGTAGAACAATTGAAGAAAAATAAGCAAGAGATCATCATCAATATCATTTTAGTACTCAACACAAAACACTAAAGTTTCAAAGTCAAGGACAAAGGAAGAATCAAGAATAAAGTCCATCTCTTTTGGAAACTAGGGTTTTATATCAAAAAAATTAGATTTCATGGGTATTCAACCCTAACTTTGTTTAAGACACGCTAATAATTGCCAAAAACCAAGGAAAGATGATTTCATAGCAAATATATGAGATTTAGAGTCAAAGAATACATATATATTAGCCCTAGCATCAATGAACAAGAATGGAAGAAAACCCCCTACCTTGATGTTCTTGGAGAAGCTAGGTTTGATCTTTAATCCCCTTTAGAACTCTTGTTCTCCCCTTCTTTCTTCCTTTCTAAGTCTTTCTATTAGGGTTCTAAGAGGTGTGGTGTGAGAGTGGTGTGAAAGAATGGGAGATGTAGTGGAAATGAGGTTTTAAAAGCAGAAAATGCCAACTTTTTAACTATCTACCGGTAGTTCGTATCGAGCTACCGGTAGTTCAGATACACTGGCAACCTGCTACCTGTTGAGCTATCGGTAGTTCGGATCCACTCGCCACTGACTACCTGTTGACTACTNTAAGTCTTTCTATTAGGGTTCTAAGAGGTGTGGTGTGAGAGTGGTGTGAAAGAATGGGAGATGTAGTGGAAATGAGGTTTTAAAAGCAGAAAATGCCAACTTTTTAACTATCTACCGGTAGTTCGTATCGAGCTACCGGTAGTTCAGATACACTGGCAACCTGCTACCTGTTGAGCTACCGGTAGTTCGGATCCACTCGCCACTGACTACCTGTTGACTACCGGTAGTTCAGATCCACTAGACAGCGTACTACCGGTAAGTCCTGTCCAAAATTTGTCTATTTCCTCTATTTTTCATTTTAAACTCATTCCAAACCTTTCCAAATCCAACCTAAGCTTATCCAACATGCTTTTGTACTTCAAACCTAGTTGGTACAAGTTCTATTACAACGATTTCATATATTTGCAAGCTAAACTAAGTTTTAACCACTATTTTCTCGAATTTCCATATTAATATTTCCAAAAGAAATAATAACTTGCTACATAAACCTACATACATATATAAAGATAAAAGGGTGGGGTTTACAGTAATTTTGTGCATTTAGAAATTATCTGAAATGATTATTGGATATCATCACATAGGAAAAATTCATACCCCTGTTCGCTTATCTAATTGTGTGAGAACCCTAATTCAACACCGTAAAAGTTCTTATTTCTCCAAACAGGTTTCACTTCGCATCACAATACACACCAATTGATTTTGATGTTTTTGATTATGGACTGCAAAGCTTTTCAACATGACTATTCACTTTGTGTTCAAAGAACCTCAAGCAAGGAAATTAATTAAACAAAGTAAGAGCAACTCCAACTGGCTCAACAAATGATACCTTTTGGCTATTTTGTTGTGCAAATCCAAAAAATTTGGCTCCAATTGGCTCAACAAATCACTCATTATTCTGTATCTCCCCATTCTCACTCATTAGTTGTAGCTAGCAACACTCTCTCTCATCAGAGCTCTCTCCCCCCAATTTTGGTTGTTCTTCATTAGAGTTTTGTGCCAATTTTGTGGTTCTTCTTCATCAGAGCTCTCTCCCTGCACTCTCAGACTCACTCCGTTAGTGGAGCGTCCTAGGAGTCACCAGATTCCCCAACACCATCGTTGATCGCTGTTCGTGGCCAACATCGTCAATCAAGAAGGGTTTAAGATTTTGCTTCAATAAACCCTTTCATTTCCTTCACTTGACAGGTATTTCATCGTCAATCAAGAAGGGTTTAAATATATTGTGAATATTGAACTCATTTCAGTGAAAATTTTGGTCTGGGTTTGTTCAAAAACTTGGTCTGGCTCGATTTCAATCGTCTTNATATTGAACTCATTTCAGTGAAAATTTTGGTCTGGGTTTGTTCAAAAACTTGGTCTGCCTCGATTTCAATCGTCTCGATTTGGTCTATACATTCATATACAGACTCTCTCCAGTGTTTCATCTTTATCGTTGCTGCTTTGTCTCTCTGTTCACACTTTGGCTCTCTATTTGAGTTTGTGGCATTCACGCTCTTTGATTTTTGATTTGTTGGGTTTGGTGGTTTACTTGATGGGTCTTGCCTGATTGGATTAATTTGTAATTTTTGTATTGTTGATCAGAATGGGAGAAGACGATGAGTTAATAAAAATCCAGCAAAACCCCCTTAAAAATCCAGTAAAACCCCTCCATGATATTTACTCTTGTAGCCCATAATTGATTAAATTTATACAATGTATAATTAAATTGCTATTTTTTGAATTTCATTATTGAAAGTTAGTTAAAGTTAGTTGAAGTGATTAGCTAAAATAGAGAGCGTGGTTAGAGTGAATTTGAAAAAGTGGATAGCTAAAGTAATGAATACAATATTTAAATATATTTTGAGTAGCTATTTTATTGAGCGTGGTTGGAGATGCTCTAATGCGTGAAATTGCTTATTTACCAAACATACATACTCTAGGAAACTAATCAAATCCAAAGTTGGGTTCAAAAATTAGGAAGAATTATATATTCCCATAGTTTAAACAAAGGAAATCAATAGGTAAATTGAAAAAATTAATGATTGATATGAGGTTTACATACCTGAATAGAAATGATATCCAAGAGATCTGGGTCATTTTCCCCAGTGGAGGATGGGTTTGGCAACACACAGACAGTCCTTGGGTCGTTCATCGAGAGGGTTTGTGAGGATCTCATAGGATTTCAAAATTGCTGCTTTTTGCTCCACCTTTTGGCTTCATCTAACTGTGATTGTAGAGGAAGAGTGAAATATGTATGTGATACTTGTACTGTTAAAGGAAAAAATTAGAAAAAAAAATATTTTTCAAATATGTTGGTATTTTAAAGTAGTATAAATAGATATAGATTTGATTTGTAATTTTTATAAGGTTGAGATTTTCAAATGATTGACAATTATGTAGGTGCCAACCTAATTAAGATGTACTCAATTTGTAGTGATGCAAAATAGTTTCACTCATCAATCAATTTGTAATGTAACATTGTAACTCTATATGAATATTTGTTAAATTCAATCAATATGAATAATTTTTTTGTTAATTTATTTTTGCAGACCAACTTCATGTAATTGATGTCATTTTGTATTTTTTTATATAAAAAATAAATTTTTCAATGTCTTTTTATATTTTTTTACATAAAAAGTAATTTTTTTAAATAAAAAACTCATTTTAGGCCCAATGGGCAGCCCATAACCCAGCCCATATATTAGCCCGTATTTGGCCTAATAGGCTGGTCCACGGGCAGGCCATGGGCCTTAAAAAATCGTAAGAGGCGGGCTATGGCCTGAAAATTGCCGAGCTAGGCCTGCTAGGCCTGCCTGGCCTGTTGCCGAGGCCTATACGAGACCCATCAATCTCTGTCCAATTATGAGAGAAAATATGCAATACAACGACCAAGTCATTGTGTATGTGACTATTCAATAAAATTAGCGCAAACTACAAATTACCTCCCTATGGTTTGACATTGTAACTTATTACTTCCTTATACTTTGAAAACACACACATAATCCCCTATAGTTTTAGACCAAATTAAAATCGTTA